AGTTGATACGAATCTCTATGCGCCAATCTTACTGGCCGTTACGTGGTGGATTTACTGTTCGTACCGTGGTCAATCGATGCCACCTATGCCTTCGATACAGAGGTCGACCTCTTGGCCAAATAATGGGCAATTTACCTGTCTCTCGTGTTTCGCATTGTCCACCCTTTGAACGCACGGGAGTTGACGCTGGCCCTCTCGCTGTGCGTTTGTCCAAGACTCGCGGCAGAGGAACCTTGAAAGGCTATATTGTAGTTTTTGTCTGCATGGTAATTTGAGCTGTGCAATTGGAGGTCGTAGTGGACTACACGTCAGATTCGTTCTTGGCAGCTTTCCATCACTTCACTTCTCGACGCGGTCATTGCAGGAACTTATACTGCGTGGGGGCAGAATCTGAATTGAGAAGATTGTGGAAAACCATGGGCTCGTCAGACTCCTTTCATCAGAGTTTGAGCTCTATTGGCACTCAATGGCCCTTTAACCCTCCTGCGGCGCCTCACTTTGACGGGCTGTGGGAGAGTGCCGGGAAATCGGCCAAATTTTATCTCAAGCGAGTTATAGGCGAGCAAGTTATCACGTTTGTTGAGCTTTCGACACTCTTGTGTGGAAAAGAAGCATGCCTCAATTCACGCCCACTCGCCAGTCTTAATGACGATCCTAATGACTTGACCCCTCTAACACCAGCTCACTTTTTAATCGCTAGACTCTCATTTTTGGTGGCCGAGCCAGATGTCCTACACGAGAACATCTCAACCTTAAAACGTTGGAGATTGCTGACAGCGTTCGCTAGCTGTGGGCGACTTCGTTCTAATTAAGGGTGAAATTACAAGTCCAAGCAAATGGCCTCTGGGCTTGGTGGAGGAGATTTATAGCGATCAAAATTCTCTTGTGAAAGTGGTGCATGTACGGACTGCAAGCTCTCCATTTATTCACCCTATTCATCGATTGATACTATTGCGCGACACCGCGGATCTTGACTCCGGTTCAATTTAGCGGGCCCAGTTCAGCCAAGAAAAAATTTGATGAATTTCGCAAGCTCTGATGCATCAACACCGGGAGTATGTTCAGTGCGATGCCATCTTTGCAAGCTATGTACGAGTGTATGTGTGTGTGTGGGGGGGATAACGCCACCAAATTCCTGTGCGCGCTCTCTGTAAATCAGTTGGCTGCTATCGGCTGAGAGAGACGTGTCGTTTCAACGAACTACGCAAAATTGTACTAGCGAAAATTAAACGCAAAATACCACGCGTCTTTATCAACATTTTCCTTATCTAATTATTATTCAAAATTTCATTATTCATACAATTACTTAAAGTGTACTACTTATTGTATTACTTGATTTTGTCTGGGTAAGCTGTGTATAAATCTTCGTTGATTTGAATAAGAAAAATCTTCATCGATAGATTTCCCTTTGCCAAATACTCTTTAATGTCAGAAACGAACACTTGGAAAACCCAGTCTTTAAAATTAAACTTCGTAATAGTCTTATTAGATGGCGAAAATACAGGTCAAAATTATTAGTCTTTTTTTCAAAGCTCATGAATTTTCTGAACGATAAACTAGCATTGGCTTACATATGTAAGTTTCAGTGGCATTCGCACATAATAATGAAGTTAATCCATCTTCTTATGCTATATTAGTTCGAGGAGGCAGTCTTTTCCAATAACCACCCGGTTTCATTGCAATTAAAAATTTGTTTCGAATCATCAACTTTTTCTCGAATTATTAGTCGAACTTCAGAAGGAAATTTATTGGCAGCATTAATCTGTAAAAGCCCCTCAACCTTGAAATTTTTAATAAAAACTTTAATCGATTAAGCTTGGTTCAAGTTCTATGTATAAATATTATTGACACCTGTGAATTTAACAATATCAAGATGGAAGCGGGTTTTAAATTTCGTAGGACTCTCATTTTCATGGTGATTATAATTACGAGGGCTTGATCTCATATAGTATTGATTAGAATAATTTTATAGCACTGCGTTGCATAAGTTCACATTTATGTCACGCTTTTCTATGATATAAGTTGCATATTCTGGCAACGGCAGCGTTCGCATCACGCTCGCATACGCTCGTGAGTTAACCTCAATTTGCGGTACTAGAAAGTGCGACTCATGGTTTGCAAAAGGGGGCATAAATGTAAACTTGGCACAGTACTATAAAATGTTGTACGATACTCGGGTCATAGGGGAAACTTTTCGGCCCAGCTATTAGGACCCTTGCTGTGCTCGGGCCCTAAACTATGCCGCGCCAAAAAGTGTTACTTATGGCACTATTATCGTAAATTAATATTATGGAACAGATGTTGTAGCCACATCAATATCGTTTCTTTCGATTTTGTAAGGTTGAGATTTTTCACGCCATGATCCGACTACGTAGACCGGCAGATAGTAACCGATAATAAGTGCTGATTTTTACACTTATGCCTTTGAAATGTCTGTAAGTTATATCTATAACAAACTCAAGAAACGGAATATTATGCCATATTAGCGTGGCAATATATTTAAAAGTGAATATCGATTTTTAACAAATTTTTGCTTTGTGCCCTCATTTTTTATCTTATGCCATTATTAATAGATGATAGTGTGACGGTGCAAATTGGCCTTATCGGGTAAGGCCCAGCTCAAATGCCGTCGACAAGAATTTTATTATTGGGACCTCTTGAACTCACGCTGACTTCTCCGAGGAGGTTCTGGGCCTATCGCCGAGTTTGGGCCGAGCTGTTGGCCCCAGTGACTCACCTTTCGAATTGGCCGAGGAAATCTCGATCTGTCGCGAACTCCGCGAAAATCCGTACAATTCGGCAAAATTACTCTACTCTCTGAAAGAAGGAATCTGGGAAATTTACAGCACGAGGGTGAATTAATTATGACTCGCGATATCAATTTCAAAATCTAGTCACTTTTATTCAACTTTCAACAGTGGCCACCAGGTGCGCTGGTGGCGTTCTTGTTTGCCTTCCGTGGCCGAACCTTTGTCACGCGACAATAGGTTACGTCGTGATTTTCTTCTACTGCTAGGCCAAAATGGCCGTCACTGTGGGGTAGTGATTTCTCAATTCATGCCTTTGAAATTGCTTGAGAATAACAACAAATTGAATACTTTTTTCGATTGGCATAACGAATGGAGGTATCTGCATTGAAGGCATGAGTCATTTATGTGTAAGAAAATTGATAGGTAGTGTTCTGATTTATACACTTATGCCTTTTTGCATAATTGTAAAAAACTTTGAAACAGATTTATTTTGAAAAGGGCATAAGTGACAAGCGTAGATGAAACACTCGAAAGTATGATGGGATATTAATTTAATATGAAATTTAGCTCCTGCGCTGGTATATTTGAATTTTTAATAGTTTTTGATGTTTGCGAACAGCATAAATTCTAGGTTGTACTCAGGTTAGTTTTCGTAAGCTAAAATATGAGTTTTGATAGTAGTCAACATTAATTTCGTAAAAAAAGTAAGAAAATATTACGATGTATGTAAAATCCATGGATATATATTTAGAAAAACGATCAAAAATCATGAAATGACAATAGTGTCTCCAATAGTCTCTAAATATTTCAAGGGTTGATACATAGCAAAATTTAGCACGATTTGTTTGAGTTTGGCCTGAAGTTTTAACCACTTCATTTTTGGGGCAACCTTGAATCTTCGACCACGCGATAACTCGACCAAAGCAATTTCAGGGTCACCCTGTTCCTTGACCATCTCACGGACCAAGCTGAAAAGTCAGGATGATTTTTCCCCATTAAAAGCTGAAACCGATTATGCCAGTCTTCAGACACATTATTGATTTTCGCTTGTCTCTTTAACACAGCGTCGTAGTGATTCCAAACTTGAATGGGATAACGTTGAGTAGCAGCTACTCTTCTACTTCGAGCTTTTGTCCTTTTTACATAAGTTGTCTTAAAATATATGCAATGTCAGCTATTTGAGGTTGTTCAGTGGGAGCCTTATTTTTCAATTCACCGAAATAATTGATGACGTCAACAGGAACGAATGCTAAAGCTGCCAACTGATGCGTAAACTTTTTTATGCTTCTATTATCCGGGTTATTGTAAGCAGCTTGTAATTTTTCATCTTGGATATTCTTGTATAAGCTTTGCTGGAAATGAAAGTAGCATCCCGAATATGGTGCATTGGGAAATACATCTCTGCAGACATTTGAAATGGCCAAGTTCAAAGTCGCTCATCACTTGATCTTGCACGCAATCAGCTATTCTATACTCACCGCATTTATCAAGTACCACTTTTAGTACCTTGAAATATTGAACGGTCTCTTTGGAAGATAGCTTTTAAGTATCGGTATAAGTTTTCGATGATTCCATTTGATCATCGTCATACATATGGTAAATATGAAACATAACATACAATCAATCAGATATATTATTCTTACAATAACAGATCCAAACGACGTATGTATTCTCATGAGCGAAAAGCATCATTTATTTGTGTATTGATCATGCGATACACGTAAAGTTTATTAAAATATATATCATTACTATTACAAAAGAGCCGATTATCATTGCTCACGCGCTTGGCAAACAATATGCTGCCGCATCACTGCATCAGGGGGGGGGGGGCTATGGCGACTAATTATGAAAATTTTCAACTTTAATTAAAAATAAATGATATCTCATAATCAGTGGATTTTCGAGATTTGTGGCTATGATAATTTTTGCTCAGGAAATCAAAATCTATCTCCTGAAAAAGTTTGATCAAAACTAACGAAGAACTACAAACCCATATGAGATTTGCAGAGTCCTTTGAAATCACATTAAATTTTACATTAAAAATTGTGATTAGATTTTTAATATTCACTCCAGCAAAGCAGAATAACAAGCTTAGTAACGTCAAAAAATTAAAATTTAACTTTTAGCCCCTGTATATCCACGAACAATGAACCTGAAGGGCTGAAATTTTTAGAATTTTCATTGTTGAATGTACTCTTTAAAAGTTAAACATTTTTCTGAATTTCATGGCTTTTTAACTAAAGTTCTTACGTGTTTTTTTGGAGATTCAAGAAAGTTATTGAATCACCATATCCTGTGAAGGCGTCTTCAGATACGACAGATATATTATTTGCTCTCAAATCAAGATGCCTTAAGCGATGTAGTCGTCGCAAAGCATCGCTTGGGATTTGATGTAAATCGTTATCTCCTAATTTTAAGTATTGCAGATTTTCTGAAAAAATTTTTAAAAGTATTGTTTATGATACCATTTTAAAAGTATAATTATAACACATAAAAAAATTACGATTATGGCAGTAAAATTTGTTTTGAAAGACAAAATTTAAATTATGGTGAATTTAACTTTACTTGTGACTCTAATTTCCCGGCTGTCGCGATGAAATTCAAAATGATCACTCTTTACAACTATAATAAAAATTTACAATAAAATTAATGAGCTTAAATGAAAATTTATAGCTATTTTCCCAAAAGAATTCCTTGAAATTTATAGAGTACGTGATATTGTAGGGTCTGTATAAAATTTGATCCAGGCAGCCGGACGGGTAGGGTCATAAATAAAGTTAAGCTTACTATAATTCTTATAAACAATATAATTAATTATTAAATTATCGTATTAAAAACTTGGCAGTGTGGTTATAGATTGAAAAATAAAAATTTCAGTTATGCTGAAAGTATATTAGTGGTAACGATCGTTGCATCAAGCTGAGCATTTATATTACGCATTATTTCTAATATTAATTAGCATAATATTAATTAGCATTTGTAATAAATATAAAAATTTATTTTTTAATTTAAATGCACTCACAAGGAGACCTTCTCACCTTCGGGTCATGGATTTGGCACAAACTTTTTCTGGTGATTCAGAACAGTTAGAAAACATACCCTGTTATGTAAGGTTGTGTGAATATGCTCTATAAGCGTTAGATAAAAAATAAACGTTAAAATAATAAAAATAATTATATTAAGCGCAATTAATATTCAATTCCTATCCTCAAAGTAATTTAGGTTACTTATTTTAGACACCTGGATCTTGAAAACATTATATTTTATTTTTAAGAAGTTGTTGGATCTCACTCGTGACCCAAAACATTGCAATATTGCACAAAGGCATGGCATGAGATCATGGCAAATAGTGGCCTTATGTGCAAATATTATTCACCTCGTCATATCATTGATAAAATTCAACTCTGCGTAGGTACTTGAAGTGTTGAATTAGTCAGTGAAAAGTGTTTTGATAAGAACTTGTAAAATCTCCAGTGCTTGTATTAAAATAATAATTATTTTAAGCGTTTGAGGCCATAAGTATTGATAGTAAACACTTTAATTTGACAATATTGCAATGTTTTGGGTCGTGCGTGAGATCCAAGAACTTCTTAACAATGAAATCTAATATTTTCAAGAACCAGGTGTCTAAAATGAGTAACAAAAATAGTTTGAGGGTAATAAAGGAATATTTATTGCGCTTTATATGTTTATTTTTATTATTTTAACGTTTATTTTTTATCTAACGCTTCTAGGGCATATTCACACAACCTAACATAACAGGGCATGTTTTCTACCTGTCCTGAATCACCAGAAAAAGTTTGGGCCAAATACATGACCTAAAGGTGAGAAGGTCTCCTGTCAGTACTTCTTGCCACTCGCGCAACAGCGTTTTTGAGCGAAATTGCTAAATTTCTAACTCGCTCTAAAAGTACCTACACGAACCTGGGAAAAATACCTAACCAGTGATTTCGATTGAAAATTTGCTTAGCTTTTCGATGGTAGGGTTTGATTTTCCGGAATTTCCCATTTTCACCTCGGAAAATGGAAGTAAACTACCTCTTAAAAAAACCTAAAAAGGAAGTAAAAAAACCTCTGCTTTCCATTAAAACGATAAAAAACGCTAAAAACGACGCATTTTGAGATATTCGAGTTTGAAAGTTTACTTGCATTTTCCGAGGTGAAAATGGAAAATTCCGAAATATCAAACCTCACCTTCGAAAAGCTAAGCAAATTCCCAATCGAAAGCACTTGTAACTTATTTTCCAGGTTCGCTTAGGTACTTTTAGAGTGAGTTAGAAATGAAATTTCGTTCAAAAACGCTGTTGCGCAAGTCGCTAGGAGTTTTGAGAAATTTCGCCCCATATGTTTAATTGTTTCAACAAATCTGAGATCCCATAAACTCTTTTTTTTAAAAGAACATGTATCAGCAATTATCTCCGTCTTATTCTTATATTTTTGTGTTCCTCAACAATTCAATTGTTAATCTCAAATCGTAAATGATAATCAATATTTTGGCTATAATATTAATGAAATCAAATAAACTCTGTCCAGTATTAAACAAACTAACAATTTTTTGTTTCAAACTTATAGCCTACTGAAATGTTTACAAGAAAATAATTCAAAACCGTCGTAATACTTTTTTCAAAAGTTTAAATAGGGGCAAGTATGACAGTCTGATTCTTTTCATTTGAACTTAAATTTAAAATCCTTTTGTTTTTCAAATTGTTTAAACTCTTAATCTCAATCCACCATTTATTAATTACTTAGCTATGATAGTATGAAGTCAAATATTTTAAGAAAAGTACTCACGCAGATGTAATATTTTGCTTCCTCATAACGGAAGGCTCGAAAACGAGATTTTGAACCAGACCTCGTAGGAAAATTTGGTTTACATTTTTGTAAGTTTATATTTCGAACATGTCTTTGAATCAAAATATAAAAATGAAATACGAAGGTTCCCTTTCATAACCAAACCCTTTCATTAATATGATTTTTTATCAGGAAGCTTTTTGCCAATAAATTAGTTGCGATTTTATTTCTTAAACCATAACGATACTGCAAAGTCGTAACACTGTATAAAATTGTACCCACTGTATACACTGTACATTATATGCAATTGTAAATTGAATAATAGTTATTATGAATTTTAGCAATTATATTAATTAATTGTTTTATTGAATTATTCTATCACAAACTTTGCATTGTCGTTATGGTTTAAGAAATAAAAATATTACATCTGCGTGAGTACTTATCTTAATATATTTGATTTCATTACTACCATAGCTGAGTAATGAATAAATGATTGATTGAGATTAAGAGTTTAAACAACTTGAAAAACAAAAGGATTTTAAATTTAAGTTCAAATGAAAAGAATCAGACTGTCATACTTGCCCCTATTTAAACTTTTAAAAAAAGTATTAACACGTTTTTGAATTATTCTATTGTAAACATTCCAGTAGGCTATTAGTTTGAAACAAAAAATTATTAGTTTGTTCAATACTTGACGGAATTTATTTGATTTCAATAATTTCATAGCCAAGAAATTGATTATAATTTAAGATTTCAGATTAACAATTGAATTGTTTAGGAACATATCTTAAAACAAAGATATAAGAATAAGACGCATGTACTTTCTCATACATGTTCTTTTAAAATAAAAAATACATGGGATTTCAGATTATTCTGGATTTAATGTTAGTATGCTTATTGCTTATGCTACACGTAGAAAATTTAAAAAGACATATTGACGATATTAAAAAGTAAAAATACATATTGATGATATTCGTGCCAAAACATCGCAACTTCCCGGAGAAAGTCATCGCCAAGCACGGGTGTTGACCTTAGTGCGCCAAGCGGATTACGCGAAGTGATATTTCTGCCGCTAAATCGCAGCGTCCTGGATAAAGTCGTCGTCGATTCTGGATAACAACCTAAGGCTCTGAGCGGCCTTTCTAGGGTTATATTTTTGCGTGAAAACCGTATTTCGTGGAGTTAGTCACTTTCAAGTTTTGAGTTCGACCTGTTGCCCTGACCGGGCTACCCAGGGTAACTGCGAGTATCTTGATAAACATGTACATTGTTCAAAATACATACAAATCAAATGAATGCGAAGCGTCTATAGGTAGATATATTTGGCCTAATGAATCCATCAAATCGATGATATGAAATTGGCAGTGAGACTGCGTTTTGCGTGAGACCGTTTTTTCGTTGGGGAATTTTTCTTTTATCACTTGTATTCAGTCAATACTGCGTTTTTTGGAGACAATGAATACATTATTTTGTGTCACTTATTACGAGGAATCGATTTACCGAATCAGAATTATCGTATCTTTCATAGATTTCAAATGATAACGTTAGGTTGTTTTCGCGGGTCCTCAAATTGTGATTCTCGTATATATGAGGAGCGTGGAGTAACGCTGCTAACGTCTGCCATACTTGTCATTCGGAGCACGACACGCGCTCCTCGATAAAATATAAATATATGGATAAGACTCAGAATTGTTTAAATAAACCTGCGCTCGTATGTCACTGATCTTGACGCGCTTTTGGTATGTTATATTACATGATACAAACCGCTGCCAATTTTTTGGCAAAGAGCTTCCTCATAAAAAATTATATTAATAAAAGAGATCAGTTATTAAAGTAAAAAGCCGTATTTAAATTTTGATTCACTATTTAGGGCCCTAACTACCATATGTACACACACACACACACACACACACAGACACACACACACACACCATTCGCGCTCGGACCAGAAGACAGGCAGGACGTGTGTTGCTCGCGCTCCTGCTTCTCCTCGATTTCTAGTGCGGTTTTACGTAGTGCCGAAGTGTCTTTGTGTGCGCCAAGTGCGCAGCTTGACGCGCGGCGTCGATACATGCGTGTACAGTCTTGTAGCTGTGCGTGCACGGCTGTAGTGGTGCCTTTTTTACTCTGCCCAGTGTTTTCCCGCTTACCGAGTTGTCGGTGTGAGCACCGCGTGCTAGTGTGAGTGCTTGCCTGGCACTGTGGTGCGAACACAGAAGGCGCGTGTAACTCGCGGCATGTCAGCAGCCGCTAACGTCTCCTTACACAATGGTGAAGGCGATTACGGCGAAAATAAACGTCGCTCCTTTGCAGTGCAAGGAAAAGGATGCCAAGCTCCCGTCTCTCGCGGAATTCGCGACCGGGACCTTGAAGGACAAGCTGGAGCGGATGGACATCCTTATACGCGGTCTTGGCCAGTTCATCAAAGGCAAGTCCAATCTTCATAAGGAGGTGATCAGCTATCAGCTGAGCCTTGTGATGGCCTTCTCAGCGCTGGAGAAGTTATTGGCGAGCCAATTGCCACCTCGCCCTCCCGTAGCAGACAAGGCGGTTTGCTCTTCCCCTCTGTTCTCGGCCAGTGCAACCAGTAAGCGGCCTGCAACGTCACCGCTAGCGTCACTCTCAACACCTTAGCGCCAT